TTCAATACCTTTGCATTTACTTAAGAATGTTTTATGGGATAATATATGGTCTATTTGGGAGAAAGTCCCATGTGCAGTTGAGAAGAATTTGTATTCTGATGTGGTTGCATGGAACAGTCTGTAAAAAACTCCTGGTAAAGTCCAATTGCTCACAGGTATGTTTCAGTTCTGTTATTTGTTTGCTGACTTTTGTCTATTTGATCTATCTCTTTGTGACAATGGTTTGTTAAAGTCCCCTCTTATACTTGTATTCTTGTATATTTGATTTTTCATATCCATTATTATCTGTCTTTTGTAGTGGTGCATATCCTGCATTTAGTGCATATATTTATAATTGTTAGTTCCTCCTCTTGAATTTTCCCACTAACGAGTATGCAGTGACTTTATCTCTTTTAATCATTTTAGGTTTGAAGTTCATGTTTTCTGCAAACAGAATAGTTACCCCTGCTTTTTTCTGGGTTCCTGTTGCATGGAATACTGTTTTCCATCCTTTGACTTTAAATCTATGAGTTTCCTCTTGGGTCAGATGTGTTTCTTGTATACAGCATATTGTAGGATCATGTTTCTAGATTCATTCTGTCAACCTTTTTCTTTTGATAGGTGAATTGAGGCCATTTGCATTTATGGGTGTCACATATGTACTGGCTTGATTTTGCTATGTTATGTTCCAGTTGTTTGATTTCTGCTTTTCTACCTTGTTTAATTGCTTGTTCTATCTGGTAGTTTCTTTCTGTTGTTGTTCTGGGGATTGTGGTCATTTTTTATCTCTATCTAGTATGTCTTTCAATACTCTTTCTAGGGTTGGTTTAGTGGACATGACTTTCTTCAGTTGTTCTTTGTCATGGAAATATCTCGTTTCTCCATTAAATTTGAATGAAAGTTTTTCTGCGTACATCAGTGTGAGTTGAAAGTTATTTTCTATACCTCACTCCAACTCCTCTTGACTTGAAGGTTCTTGCTGAAATGTTGCTGTGATTCTAATGGACTTTTCTTGATATGGTGAATTTCTGTCTTTTCTCTAACAGCTTTTAGTATTCTGCTTTTATGCTGTATGTCTGACATCTTAATTATTATATGTCTGGGTGTAGATTTATGTTGGTTGTGATTGTTTGGCATTCTATATGCCTCACTTATCTGCATATTAGATTTTTTCCCCATGTTTGGAAAATTTTCTTCTATTACTTCTGTATTTTAGTTATGTCATTTGCATTGACTCCTACATCTTCAGTGATGCCTATTGATCTTGCTGATCTTGGCATCATCTTGAAGGTGATGGATTGTCATTTCATGCTGCTTTGTTATTTTTATAAGTTCTGTGCTTTCATCACTAATTGCAATCCTGCCCTCAATCTCTGAAATTGTATCCCAGCTTCATTTAAACAGTGTTTCCAGCTTTGAATAAAATTTTTTGTTTCTTGAAAGTCTCTTTGAGTTTGTTTCATGCTTGTTTTCTATATTGTTCGTTCAAGGTTTCAATCAGTTTCTCATGCTCCTGTACTTTTTTCTCTATTTCTTCTTTAGCCGCACTTGCAACTCCTTTACTAAGATTGTTCTTTCTATCTGACGTCAGAGAGTACTTCTAATTTGATTTCCTCTATAGCCTCATGGAATTGTTTTTTTTTTTATTTCACTTGCTATCTTTTCAGAGATTTCCAGTGTGTGACTTCTGAAGTCCTCTATTTCAATGTCTCCTGTACTTGCTCCTGGTGGACTAGATGAGATTGCATTATGCTTTTTTGTTTTGCCATTTTCCGTTTTCGAGTTAATATTTAGTTCTTCAATCCCACGAGTGCAACTGTTGGTAGTGTGTATCTTGGAGTCCTACTGTAAAGTTGATGTTTGTCCAATTGCTGGTTCCCACATTGAAGAGCTGGGCCAATCATCTGACTTCCCACTGCAGGGCCTGTTGGGTTAGTCCTATATTCTTCCTGGGCTGACAAGCCTAGTAGTATTGATGTAGTTCAACTTTTACTTCCTGCTTCCTCCAACTTTATCTTCAGGTTATTCCAGGTCACCAAATATCCCTGTCTATAGTGTTTGTGTCATCTGAGGCCCTACTGTGTTCCTATTGTGTGCCTGTGTGTCTTGTAATCCCTTTTGATTTTCTCCAAGCTAGGGGAGTCCTTACTGGCAGACTCTTCACCCTGCCTGATGTTTTCTGTGTGCAGGAAGGAGTTACCCACACTCTTGCCAGACTCACCAAGGCCTTATAGTTAGTTAGAGGGAGCTTTAGTACTGGCTCTATTTATCCACTGTGTACCTCTATTTTAGGGGCATACTCACCACACTGACTGGAGCCTGCTGAGATCTTCTGTTTGGGTGAGGCTGTTAGTGAATCTCCCTTTAAGCTAGCAAAGTTAATCTACTGTATTCCAAGGTTCTTGGAGTAAAGATGGGAGCTGAAGATCAACAGCAGTATTAGGTCAAGGAAGTAGGGAGGGGCCTGCAGATGTCCTTGTTCCAGGTGTCCACTGGGCGTGGGACATGGTCCCAGGGCAGCGTGGTGTGCTTCAGTGCTAGCTGGAGTCCTGTAGGAAGCATGTGGCTGCACAGGTCAAGGTTCGAGGGAAGTAGCACAGGAAGTGTGTGGCGGCAGGGTCCAAGGTCCAGGGTAGTGTGGTGTTCCTCAGTGCTGGCTGGAGTTGCACAGGGAGCAGGCAGCTGTGTAGGCCAAGGTCTGAGAGCAGCACGTGTTCCCCAGGGCCAGCAAGAGTCATGCAGGAAGCATGTGGTGGCATGGGCCAATGTCCTGGGGCCACATGACATTCCTCAGTGCTGGCTGGAATAACCCCTGTTTCCAGATTTTGAGTGATGTTTCAAAGCTTCCTGGATGCACTGGGAATCACTTGGACCACTTTCGGCTTTGGGGCAGACTGCTGATAAATGTTTGCCACTCGGAGCTCGCTGGGTGTGGGTTAGTTGGGCCCTCGGGGACTCTGTGTGTCCTCTGGTGACTTCAGATACAGGATGTGGTCTTACTGCCTGGGAGCAAAGTTCTAAGGCTTTCCCATGCACTGAATTCAACCGGTGTGTGGTCAGGGCCCAGGACTGGATTCCAGGCCCTGCTTGCTGCTTAGAGCTCGCTGGTTGTGGCCTGGTTAGGCCGCAAGTACCTCTTAGGGTGATTTTAAATGCAGGACGTGGTCTTACCACCTAGGAATGAAGTTCCAAGGTTTTCCAGTGCTCTGGGATTCAACCCACACGTGTGGTCAGGCCCGGGACTGCATTCTGGGCCCTGCTTGCTCCTATTCTACTCTCCATACCAATTTCCAAAGTAGTTGCAATAGTTTACCTTCTAACAATGTAGAAGGGCTCCTTTCACTACAGTCTCACCAGCATTTGTTGATGACAGCCATTCTTTCCGGAGTATGATAGCATCTGGGTATTGTATTTATTTGCTCTTCTCTAATGGCCAAAGATGCTAAAGTATTTTTCATGATCATTTGTGGTAGCTGTATTTCTGCTTTTGAGAAGTTCCTATCCATTTCAATTGACTCATGGGCATAATTTCTTTCTTTTTTTTTTAATTTAAGAGGAAAAAGAGAAAAACACAAAACAAAACAAAGCAGTGTAAGGTTACACATAATACAGAACTACAAAAAAAAAAACATAACAGTAAGAAATCCCCTGTTAATAGATTACATATTATCATCTTGGAAATAGTTGCTCAAATCACAGTATCAAAGAATACAAAGTAGACATTCAAACAGAGAGACTGCAAACAGCTGTGTTCAATGATCCAAAAACATTAATATAGTCAGCTATTTAACATGATTGCTATGTTCACCATGAGCATTTAGCCCTACAACCACATGGATACTTCATTTTTATGAAAATATTCGTGACTCAGAATTTAAGGTGTAAAAATGCTTTATTTTCTTTTTAAAATTTTTACTTTTTTATTTGAATGAGAATGAATCAAAACAATGGAAATGATACTGGATTTGAAAAACAAGACAGTAGGAAATCAACTGGTGTAACTATATTGCACATTGTTATTCTCTAAATAGATGCTCAGACCACAGGACAAATGCAAAGTAAGCACTAAGTTGCCTTTTTACTTCAGTTGCTATCTTTTCAGAAATTTCAAGTACATTACTTTTAATTCATTCTGTGTGTGCCTGTGTCTTATGGACTTGCTCTTGGTGAGTGGAGGTCTGAGATTGTACTCCGCTTTGTAATCCTCTTTATATAGGGGAATGAAATTCCCAACCTATAAGATATCTGGTATGAGTTTATGTTCTCTAAAATTAAAAAAATGGATTTTAGGAACAACAGAAGTTAAAAATAGGATATATTTATTGAGAGAAAGGAAGGTTTTGTCTGAGAGAGCAACAGAAGGGGTCCCGAGTGGGTTGTCAAAGACTCTATCTTTTCTAGGGAGTTTTATAGAGCAAAACCACCAGGTGAGAGGGGTCCAAGATGGAGAAAACATAAGAACTTGCAAGGCAGATGAGCATGAGGTGGGACAGAACTGTATTCAAACATTAAGATTAATTATTCAGGTAAAGTTGATGAAATTGGGAGTAACATAACAAGCAGGTGTGCTTAAAGAGCAGTGACTCTTTCTGTAGGGGTTGGGATGGTGACTCCAGGCTTCTTCAAGGTGATCCATACTTATTTACAATATCAATCCCTGGTGTTTATACTTAAGGTATGCTTGCATTTGTTTTGCCTTTTGTTTTGAGATTTGGCCTGTAGCGGAGATGTTTGTCTCCTCCAAGGTTGCAAGATATCTGGTCTTCTGCACTGGTTCCTTTGAGGCCCCAGCCATGTATGGCTGTCTATAATATTTTTAACTAACTCAGCTGCCTGTAACACTCTGATGGGAGGTTCCTACAGTGGCAGGGAGGTGTGAGGCACTGCTTCATCAGTGTTTCCCCTAATAGTGGCCAGGCCTAGGCTTCCTCTGCTCTGGCTCCAAGGCAGTGAGTTCACTAAGGGGTGTGCCCCTTTTTCTCCAGCCCCACAGTTGTGGGGGGAGCTTACAGTAGGGGGAGAATTGTTTCTTTCTCATGAATTGACCACCATGTTTCTAAAGTTCTGAAAATGGCCACCAGACAATAGAAAGATAATACTTTAGGCTCCTGCTTGAAACCAACAACTTAAGAAAACTGCCGGCCTTGGTTCAGGGCCATAAAAGTGCTTTATTTTCATAGTCAATATCATTTAGATGATTTCTGAAACTGTATTATTAAATGTTATTTTCTATTACAGGTAAATGAAGAATTCACAGTGCAAGTATCTTACACATAAAAAAAGAAAGAAAAATTTAAGGAAGTTGAAACAAAATTCCAGCAATGTGGAAACCAGGTAGTCATACTAACTATAATTTGTGTTGTATCATATTTTAAGTGTTATGGTGGAAATTTATTTTGTCAGAGAGAAAAATAGGACTTAAGGTAGACTTTTTGGTAAACTTACATTTTAGTTCAAATAACTCTAGATATCATATTTTCTAAGACAATAACTCATTTTCATATGTGGAAAAGATCCAGGTGTTAGTTTCTGAAATTGTATTAAGTGTTTTGGAATAACATATCACAAAAACAAAAGTTTATTTCTCAGATTTTATTGGTAAATTTTAGATGTAAATAATAATTACATTCATCATAGACAAAACTGCTTTTGTGAAAAAAAATTGATGCTATCAATGAATGTGTTCATAATGTTTTTTTCATAAAAGGAATAAATCCAAGGCCTCTGCACTGATTTATATCTGCATCCCTTGAGACAGAGTCTCACTCACTGGCTAAATTGCCCTGGTTGGAGTTGACTTTGTGTGACTCTCCTATCTCAGCTACCAACTACTAGTGCTGGAATTATAAGCACTTAAAACAATGCCCAGCTAATATTTCATTTTCAAAAAACAAATCTAGAGCAGTGTATATATCTTAGTCATATAATGTTTGCTGTGTATTCATAAAGCCTTGGATTGAATTCTGAACATTGCAATTTAAATAGTTTGATAAATCAATAACATTGATAAGCTTATAACCTGTGTATAATCTCTAAAAAACCCCCACAAGTATCTACTTTTGTGTATTCTGGGCTACATATTTTATAGCAAGTATTTAGATTTTTGATTATGTGTATTTCAGGATCATGTCCCATCAGATGGTGCATCAATTTCAGAAACTCTTTGAACGCACGCACCACCAAATTGAGAGCCATCCTCATCTCCATCCTCAATACTATGATCCCTCTGCAGATGATGTTCTCCTCTTCATAAAACTGCTTTCCCTGCACTAAGTGGTAAACATCACCACTATTACCTTTGGGGAGCTTCTGCTTCTACCATCACCTTTCTTAGGGGACCCTCTTTTTAGGCTCAACACCTGCTTCATCATGTAGAAATAAATTAACAAACATGGAGGCCATAGGTTGATTATATTTTGATGATATTCTCAGTGGAACTTCCCTCTGAGCTATAGCCTCATTATTTCTTTTTGTTTTATGTTTTGAGACAGGTCTCATGATGATAAATTGCTCAAGTTGGGTTTGAATTTGGAATCTTCATGCCTCAGCTGCCAGGAATGCTGGGATTATAGGGATTTACCACATTGCCTCTCTCATATGTTGATTCTTCAGGAGAATGAGTGCAATGGCAAGAGTTTGGTATTGGTATTTACTGGCCATTGGTGATCACTAAGGCATGAAAACTGTGTACACATGTAAATATTCTATAATGTTAGAGAATATGAGTACTGACTTAATTTTTGTTTGTGAGCTTGCTATTTTATGCTTCTTTTTTGGCACAACATTTCAGTAATGAAAAAGACTACAAAAATATGAAATATATGAAAAAGGCAAAGACATCAAGAAAGTTCTGTGAGCATAATTTCTTTAGTTTCTAAGACATTGATAACAAATTTATTCAAATTTGTTTGGATCTGAACAGCAAAAACCTATGTTTCAGCTGGGTATGGTGATGTACTCTCATAATCCCAGAACTCTGGGAGATAGAGGCAGGAGGTTCTCAAACTCAGTCTGGGGAAGGTAGTAATTTAAAAAGGCCCTTTTTCAATGAAAAATGAAAACTATGGATGAGAATACAGTGTAGTTCTAAAGCCCCAGGTTTAATCACTAACAATGAATTTGTATATACCACGATTTTGGAGTCCTCATGTCATGTGTTGACATTACCACAGTTACTCTCTGGAGTTTGTAGAGCAGAATCTATTCATTTTTTGGGCACTATCAGGGATTTAATGGGAGGGGCACTAACACAGAGTTACATACATTCTCAACCAGTTTGGTTTTTATTTTGAGGCCAGGACTTGTTAAATTGCCCAGGTAAGACTTGAACTTGTGATCCTTCTGTCTCAGCTTTCCTCAATGCTAGGAACATAGGTTGAACCACCATGCCTGGAGAATCTGTACCTTTTCTCTTCCTCCTGGCATTCCTTGGCTTTTGGGCCTACATTTCTCTGTTCCACATTCTCATGGCCTTCTATTCTGTATAGGTTCCTGCTTATCTCTTAAAAGGATACATGTAACTGCATTTAGGGTATATCCAGATAATTCAGGGCAAATTCCTCCTTCAAGATCCTTATGGGGCTGTGATGTAGTTCAGCGGTACTCACTGAGCATGCACAAGGTTCTAGGTTCCACTCCTAGTAATGCCAAAAAATCCTTAATATATTCACATATTTTGCCTTGTAAGGTAATATTTCCAGTTTCTAGAGTATAGGATTAGGGGCATATCATTCTGGAACACACTAATCATTCCAAAAAATGCTAGAGGAAATTCATTGTCACAATGAAAATAAATTTTTATTTTTAATCATCAGTAAGTACTATAAAATTACTTTTTATAAAATGAAAATTTTCTTCTAATAAAAGAATATCTACATAGATATTAAAATTACATTTTGGGCAAGGGGTGTATTTTCAACAGTAGAGAATTTGCCTTACCTTTACAAGGCAGTATTTTCCATCCCCAGGACCACTGAAAAGAAAGCCAAGAAACATAGTGTATGCGTGTAGTCACCAAACTTGGGTTTTTGAGTCAGAAGATACTGACTCAGTATGAACTCAATGTGTCAAGAATCCAAGGTCCTTTGCCACCTTTGCCAGGGTGAAGCAGAGTGGAATCACATACGCAGGAATCCCACGTTAAAAATTCTGCTCTGCATAAGCTACAAATGGTTTACTTTAGTAGTTTAGGGGTATAGCTCAATGGTGCAGTGCTTGTCCAGTGTTATGGCTTGTGTCTAGATGTTCCCCAAGACCTCTTGCAGTCATGGGGAATGGGCTTTTCAGAGATGCCTGAGCAGATTTTGTGATTGATTCATGGTCCAAAGCTGAAATTAAGAGTGTGAGTGTCACATCTGTTCTAGGGTGAGTAGCCTGCACACAATATGAGGGAGAGAATTGTCCCTTCTCTCTCCCTTGTCACTTTTTTCTGCCTTCCACCACCATGAACTGTTTCTCCTCTGCCATGTACCACTCTGTCTTGGAGCCAATGCACTATGAATTAAACCTCTACAAACTGTGAGCTAAATAAATCTTTTCTCTCTCAACATGGAGTGTTGTGTATTTTATCTCAGCAATGAGAAAAAGTCATTAACATACCTAGCATGCATAAGGCCTTGAGTTTGATCTCCAGGGATACACAAAAAAACAAAACAAAAAAAGAGAAAAAATTCACTTTAGAGTAGAGACCAATCTTACTTGCATATCTCCCAGGACTTGATGCTTCTATATTTCCTGCCCTAGTTTCAGCTGCAACTGTCTTTCTCTTTGCTTGTCTGGTTCAGTATCAACTTGTATAGGCATGTATAAGCCTATACAGGTAAACCTATCTTTTCTATATTAGAGGGAAAAACAAAACCAAAGCAAAACAATTACTAGAAAAACAAGAAACAAAAGAGACAAATAAATAACAGTAACAAAGAGGCCAAAAACCATCACAATATAGATCTTCAAAACAAGGTGGTAGGTACATAACTAAGGTTGTTGTTTTGCTTAGTTATCGTCAAAAGAGTTACTTAGATTACCAGATACAAACATGCAAAATTGATCTAATCTAATGTTAACTGTTTTATTCCAAGAACTGATAGAATTAGTAGCACAATCATCTTAGCTATCCTAAGTGATTATATACAAATTTGTATTTTTTCTTTTCTCTTCCTTCTTTTTAAATTTTTTATTTTGAAGAAAATAAAACCAAATGAGACAAAAATAGAGTCAATCAAAACAAAAGGGTGCACATGGTACATGACTTAAAAACAGAATACAAGGAGATCAATAATGGCTCTTGTTACCCTCAAAATAATTGCCCATATCATCAGGCATAATAAAATTGAACAAAACAGTACAGAAAAAAAAAACCAATAAAAACAAAACATTGGAGACATTATAGAACTTCAAAAGAAGATAATATTCAAACCACAATGGGTATTGTAGTTCATCTTATTGTCTTCAAAGTAGTTGCCTATACCATCAGACTTGATATTGTCAAAAAGAACAGAATAGAATGAAACAAGTCAAAACAAAATAGCAATTCAGGGCTTCAAATCAAGCTAACAGGAAATCAAAAATGGCTACTATAATACATCCTTCTATTTTTGGAATAGCTGTCCATGCCATCAAATCTAGGCAAACAGAATAAAACTAAACTAAACAGAACAATAAAAACAATATGAGTTTCAAATCATGTTAATAAATTAACAATGGCCACTGCATTCCTTTTTCAGACAATTCCTCCCCTTTCAGTTTCTTTTTTTATATTATAAATCTAATAATATTTAAAGTAAGACCAAACAAAATAGAAAATGGGCAGAAATAGTACATACTTTCAAAGAAAAGAAATAAACAGTAATAAATTACTAGTTGGTATATACATATTGTCCACCCCACAAATAGTTGTTCAAGATACAAAAGTGGAACATATAAGTGGGAATTCAACCAGGGAGACTGCAAACAGTTCTGTTCAGCTATCCAACAAAAACTAAGTATTATGGCTATCAATCCTATACACATAGACATGTACACACTTATCCATATCTTCACTTATGTTGAGACCTAATAAAACTTATTAGATTAGGCACTTTCCCCAGAGTCCAACAAGTTTGGGACCCTCACTCAGCCCAGAGAGGCTTCCCCATGCACCAGACAAGTGCAGCCCATCCTG